CAAAAGAAACCAGGTCCAAAACACAACAACTCCGCCATCTTTCACAAGGTGTTCTCAGGGGGAGCTTTCTATTTGTGGTTCCTTCGCATTCAAAATGAATTGAGTGGCCCACCAAGGAGGGTCTTGGCATTGCATCCACCATGCATGGTGAGGGATCCTGAGAGGTGCTCAGGAGTGCAGAACAGATCACCTGGGTGAGGACTCTTTTTAAATTCCTAAGAGACGGTTCACGCAGAGTGACCAACTTGTTCTGGCTTGCCTGAAGGTCTTGTATCCCTGCAGCCCCTCAGTGTCCAACTGGGACAGCTGGTCACCCTTCTGGATGAGCACATCCTCGGGTAGAGCAGCAGAAAACCCCCAGTTCCTCTTCCTTCACCTTAATGTCTGCCTTCTTCTGATCTTCTTTCCTCATGTGCAGCTATGCAAGGTCCCTCCCTTCTCAGGACCTCCTCAGGGACAGGCCTTCCCAGAACAGAGCTCCCAAGGGGCCTGTCACTGTGGAGTCTTAGGACATCCTCACCCTCTCCATGTGTGTCCTGTCCTATGGCCCTTCCTCTCCCTCACCCCACTCCACACACATGCATGCGTGCACACTCACATAGACACACTCACATACACTCATCACAAACTCATGTACACAAATACACGTTCCACTCACTCATGTTCACACATATCTGTACACTCTCATATATATAAACACACTCACACACGCATACTCACACACCCTCCCACATACATACACACATGTATGTGCTCTCACATACACAGTCTCACATGCTCACATACATGAGCAGAGCCCCATCCCACTGGGAGATTCTCCCAAAGAGCTCCTCCTGCTTCTACCCTACTGAAGGCCTCCTGAATCCCTGAACCCCCTCATTGTCTCCAGCTCAAGGCACCCATTTCTGGTCTTGTCCTGACTGGCTTGGGAAGCAAAACCAGAGCCAAGTGCAAGCCCCCCTCCCTCCTGCCTGCACCCTACGTGCCTCCACCCTCAAAGCCTAGCAGAGCACCTGGCACAGATCCAGAGCTCAGTGCACGTCCCAATGCTGGCTAGAGCACCCCAATCCTTCCTCCCCCATTAGTTTATTAGTGGAGCACCACCCTCTTCTAGGACAAGCTGTTAGAAGGAGGGGTGTTTCCTCTAACCCTGGGAATTAGTTGTCCCCACGACCATGAGCCTGGCTGCCTGAGTGATCCAACTTGATTACAGACACCTCCTGGTTTCCCCTCTACACATCCCTTTGGCCAGATGGAGGGTATGGGCACTTTCACCAGAAGTCACTAGGTGGCACTAGGTGGCACTAGGTGGCAGTCCAAAGGTCTGGCACAGTCTGGACAACCTGAGGACCCACAGGGTAGGGGTTCCCACTCTGGAGGCTGAGAGGTGTGTGACACACTTCACTGGCATAGCACCATATGTGTGCCTTGAAAAGATAACATGGGAAACAATACAAGGAGTATGAGAGCCATTTGGAGAAGGAAGGAAATTATCAGAGCACTCTTGAACCTAATGTAACATATAATGTACATATGCATGAGATATACTTCATCCAATCACTTAGATGAAATATTACCTTCTCATAGAACCAGTTTATTATTATTTTTCTATATCAGGAAAAAGAGCCGTTTTGCTGGGGTAACTTGTCACTTTAGTAAAATCAAGTGGATTTGCCTCTGACAGACAGATCTCCAATCACCTTCAGGGCTGAGGTTTTCATTGTTGTTTTGCATTTATTTGTGTAATGAATAACTGCAATTTTTAGGCTGTAATTTTTTTTTTTTTGGTACCAGGGATGGAACTAAGGAGTGTTTAATCACTGAACCACATCTCCAGCCCTTATTATTATTATTATTATTATTATTATTATTATTATGGTATTTTATTTACAGACAGGGTCCCACTGAGTTGCTCAGTACCTCACTAAGTTACTGAGGCTGGCCCTGAACTCATGATCCTCCTGCCTCAGCTTCCCAAACCACTGGGATTATAGGTGTGCACCACCTCATCCAGCTAGACTGTAATCTTTTAACCAGGCAAACGATCCTCATACCCTTGACCAACCCCTGTGTTATGGGGTACATACCTACTATGGGGTTCATTATTAGTAAGGTCATCAATAACAAAAATGTTCTACTTAGTGCTTCGGGAGTCACTGCCGTGGCCTTGTGGGCCGAGAGGAGGGAAGCAACACATTGAGTTAGCTGACAAAGCTAAATTGGGATGTGTTGTGATCCTTTCCATAGATAGACAAAGAACAGTATAAAGTTAGAAATGCAGTAAGTTCATAAAGCATGTCCATGGAAAAATACAAGCTACAGCTGGAGAAGGAGGGACAAGGGATGATGGAAATTCAGGAAATGGAGAGTCAATGAAATAGTGCAATTTGGAAAGCAGAAATGCTAAGGAGCGATTTATGGGGTGAGACCGGATGGGTGTGCAATGTGATATGACAGCTAAATAAGCAAGGGAGAGTTCAGCTTTACAACCAGAGTGCCTCGCCACAGCCAGCGGCATCTGGTGACCATATTGCATCCATTTGTTGAGCACCTACTGTGTGTCGGGCATTTAGCACATGGTCATGCTCTACTCCAAAACCCCGGTAAGGTGGGTATTATCATCCCCTTATCCAGCAAACAAAGTGAAACTCAGAGAAGTTAAGTAGCTTCTCAGGGTCACAGAGCTAGAGAGAAGAAACTGGAATTGAACCCCACAGCCGATCCAATTCCAAAATCTCATCTCTATACTTTGTACCTGGTCACACACAGTGGATGAATCCACAGGGAACAGGGGGACACTTCACCTCACTGTCCAGTTCCAGCAGGAGCAGGGCAATGGCTTCTATCTGTAAACTCTGGAAGGTACACAGGACTGGGAGACAAGCCTGGTTCAAACCCAGCACTCCCCTTCACTAGCTGTGTGACTCTAAGAGTGTCACTTAAACTGTCTGAGCCATAGTTCCTGCCAATAGTTCCTGCCAATGGGGATAATATTGTCATCCACACTGAGATATTGTGACAACTAAGTGGACATCGGGGTTGGCTCCTGGTGAACTGTATGGCTCACTCAGTACAAGATACTACTAATGCTAATCTTATCAGTCAGCCTAGAAATTGCTAGTGGTTTTGTTGTTTGGATTCAACTTGTCATCAAAACCCAACTGATCAATCTCCTGCCTTTGAAATATTTGTAATATTAAACCCTGCCCAGCAGGAAGACGATTGGAATATCGGGAATGAATAGTTAGTTACTCTGCAACAAAATGGCCAGGATTGCCTTCAACAGACTGCCCCTCCTCAGGATTCACAGTAAGGACCTGCAGTCTAAGAACATCGGGTTCTTAAGGTGACAGGGAAGTGATGGCTCTGGAACCTCTCCCGAATGAAGAATGACGGAGGGAAGTAAAGGGACACAGGCCTGCCTCAGAGGACCTTGGGCGTCATTTCCAGATGTTTGACTAAATGCAGGAGAAGAGGCTCTGTGCTATTCCTGAGGTGGAGCCAGAAGGAAAGAAGGACGGGGTGGAGGGGCAAAGGGACCGTAGTGAGTGAGCCCCTGCAGGTTTCAGTGGCTTTGCTAGCAATGTATACACTGTTTTCCAACAACACTTGAGCCTCACCTGGGTATCTTACCATGCAATTCAGTGCTGTCACTAATACCCAGAGTTACAGTAGGCCTCACAGGTGAGGAGGCTCAGTCCCACAGGATTTCAGCCACTCTCTACAAGTCCTGGCTCCCTGGCTGCCGGCACTTGAGTCTGATTTGGCTACAAATTCAAGGATTCTATTTAGCCATAAGGAAGAATGAAATTATGTCATTGGCAGGAAAATGGATAGAACCTGAAAGCATGATGTTAAATGAAATGAACTACGCGGAGAAAGTTATAGTTTTCTCTCATATGAGCAAGATAAAGAGAAATAAGCAGGGGAATGGTGGGGGAGATCTCATGAAAACAGAAGAAAGACCAGTAGCATAAAGGAAAGGGGCCAAGGGAGGAAGTGGGGGGAGGGAGGGGAGATACTGGGGATCCAGTGACCCAATTCTACCATTACATGTGCACACGCGTGAATGTGTAACAAGGAATTCCACTCTTACGTGTAATAATAATATTGTGATAAAAAAGTTTAAAAGAAGCAAATTCAAGGGTTCTCACAACCCTACTTATCAGGTTTGATAATTCACTAGAATAAATTACAGGACTCAGGAACGTGTTACACTTGTAATTACTTGTAATTATAATAATGTATAAGCATTATTATAAAGGAAGAATCAGATGGAGGAGATGCCCATAATAAAGCATAAAAAGTGGGGGTCACGGAGCTTCCATTCCCTGCAGGCTGCCTGGAACACGATACCCCGGGGTTTTGTCTGGGATGCCATGTGTAGGCATGAGTGAGCGGCTACATCATTGATCACATGATTCAATCCAGTCTCCAGCACCGTTACCCTCCCCAGTGAGACGGCACAAGGCTGAGAGTCCTGACCTTAAGTTTCATTCCTCTGGTGATCAGTTCTCATCCCAAAGCTATTTAGCGTCCCCCAACCCCATAACTCATCTTACTAGCATAGACTCTGATATAGGAGGAAGGGTTTCATTATGAATAACATAAAGCACACTTATGATTCGGGAAATTCCAAGGGTTTTAGGAGCTCTATGTCAGGAACCTAGGACAAAAACCAAATATATATTTTATTATACACTTTAACCTCTCTTCTGTCCCTAACATGCTGGATTTAGTAGTTCTCAAACTGATTACAAGGTGCAGTTCAGTTCCATGTAAGAAAATACCTTCCAGCTGAAGTTCTGCAGCAGTTGAAGAGGCTGCAGCCAAAGGTGTGAGCTACCTGGATCAGGGGGTGATGCATTGAGGGTGAAGACCCAAGCTGGGGTGCCGAGGAGGGAATGTCCACCCTGTGGGGCAGTCTGGCCTGATGCCCAGTCATCACAATTGTGGTGACACAGTATAACGTATAACATCATTGTCTTGCTTGATTTCAGAGTCGAGAGGCGCTTCCGTTTTGGATGAACAGCACAGGCAGGCGGGAAGGCTGGCAGCGTGGATGGCACGGATATGACAACGAGCTCATGGACATGAGAGGCATCTTCCTGGCCTTTGGACCTGGTAGGCAAGGACGTGACCCCATCCTCTTAGCTGTTCCTAGAGAGGTGCTCTCACAGGGACTCTTCACGGAGGGATCTCTTTATGGACCCTCTTTATGAGCCAAGCTGAGCAAACCCAGCCGGTCTCCGTGAAACATCTTTTGCTGGCTTCCTTTCAAATGCTTCTTGGGTTTGGCAGTGGTGGCCAAATACTTTTCCTTGTAAATTTTAAATCCTGAGTGCAATGAAGAAAATGTATTCCACATGTTTGTGATTCATTTTTTACTTAATTCATCAAAACGTTGCTTCACAGCTATCTGAAGTCCAGGAAAGCTTACGGGATACCATGTTGCTGACAGCTGTGTTTCCAAGCTGATGCAATTGCTTCATGTGCTCTGACCTTTACATGGTCCCTCCCTGTCTAGAGCACCCACCCCTGTGGGTTAATTCAGTTTAGGGCCCAACCAGAAGCTGGGATGTGTGCAAGGGCAGGCTTAGAAATGACCCTGGGATTGACTCTGAGAATGAGCCAGAATGACTAAGGAAGTCTTGGATGGAAGTAAATTTGCTGAACCTTCTTTGATCAGATTGTATTCCAAAGTGCTGGAGGAAAGGGGAGATGGAGAGGGCCTATTTGGTCATTTGATTTAATTGATAGGACACTGTAAATTCACACTTTGGAAAAGTTTACCAAATACTCTAACTACACATTACTATTGAACACCTAATTCTTTCAAAATAAAAAAGGGAAAAAAGCACTCAATAGCCACCAACCATCAGTTGATTAGTTCATAATCTACTCTTCTTCCTTACTACTGTCTATCTCTCCTCTCTAAATATAATTACCCTAATGTTTATATCGCAAATGCCTTTTTTTTTTTGGTCGCAGGGATTGAACCCAGGGATGCACTGAGCCAAATACCAGTATACACACACACACACACACACACACACACACACACACACACATATATATATATATATTATATGCTATATATAATATGTATATATATATTTATATTTAAAAAATTTTTAGTTGTAGATGGATACAATATCTTTATTTTATTTATTTACTTTTATGGTGCTGAGAATCTAACCCACTACCTCATGCATGTGAGGCAAGCACTCTACCTCTGAGCCACAACCCCAGTTCCTGGACTGAAACAGTTTTTATCAACATCTAGAAAAAGGCATGTGGGACCAGGCACAGTGGTGTGTGCCTGAAATCCTAACAGTTTTGGAGGCTGAGGCAGATGGATCACAAGTTCAAAGCCAGCCTCTGCAACTTAGTGAGGCCCTAAACAATCTTAGACCTTGCCTCCAAATTTACAAAAAAAGAAAAAAATTATATATATATATGCATATATAAATATATATTTATAAATATATATATTTATATATATATAATTAACCCCTGGTATCTGGTCCCAGATGCCTTTTTCTAGATGTTGATCAAAATGTTTCAGTGTAGGGACTAGGGTTGTGGCTTAGTGGTAGAGCGTTTGCCTCACATGCATGAGGTACTGGGTTGGATTCTCAGCACCACATAAAAGTAGATAAATAAAATAAAGATATTGTATCCATCTACAACTAAAAAAATATTTTAAAAATCTTTCAGTCCAAGAAAGTCCACATGTCCCTTTCCAATTATAGGTTGAACATCCCATCTGTACACTCTGCTCTTCACTGTAACAAAACCAAGGACAAGTCAACTTCCCCATGTCCCTTGGTCTGCCTTGGATCACTCTACTTGCCACAAAATCTCTCTCAAGAACAATGAGGTGTCAGTTTCTGCCACCTCCAGGAAAGCCTCTGAGAGTCTGAGTCTGGGGTATACATTGGTCCAAATTCTTTACCTCATGTGATCCAAGTTCCCAAGTCCCAAAGTGGACATAAGAACCACAGCAGCAAACATACATAGAGCACTAGCTGCGTCCATGGTGTTGACCTATGAATTCACAGGTTGTCTGAGCACACTGCCTTTGACAGTGAAAGTTATCAGGTGCCCCCTGTTAACCACGCCCTGGATCGTCATGCAAAGCTCTGAGGTTAAAGCAATTAAGAATAGAGAATCCAAGACTGAGGTCAACTGTAGATCCATACGAGATGGTCCAAGGCTTTTGACTTCACAGGGGAAACACCAGTAATCAGGGCTTTCAATCAATAGCGTTGCCTCCTCCCTCACTAGAAGAGGCAAGTAATATCGTGAATGCAAAACACTTGTCCATTGAAGGAGTGTATGTGAGCAAGAGTCTTACACATATTTTATAGCAGAACCAAATCTAGCCCCAAACCCAAATTTCTACGTGAAGTACCCAAAGCTGCATTAAATTCAGTGGGGAGATTTTGTCCATTAACCAAGACCTCCACTATAGGCTCTTTTAAAACTAAAAGTCCTCAATCTTACCAACAGAAAGAAAGTCCCTGATGAAAATGGACTGAGCTAATTTGCAAAAGGCTTCTAGGCTGATACAGCCTTGAGAGCCTCCCACAAACTGTCACGTTTCTGGCTCCAAGTCTCATGAAAGATTAAACAGCTTTGCACATGGACTGTTTACTCAGAAGGAAATTTAAGAGTGAGGCCTTTAATAGCTATCTAGCTGCACTTGGAGATAAAGGTGCATCCCTCCTGATTAATTGTCTGTGCTTCTTGCTTAGGGAGGGAGCTGGGCATTACTGCGGCTGCCCCCGATAACCAGCCTTAGAAGTGAGTAAATCTGGCCCAGCAAAGAGAAAGGGAAGTAATTCTGAAGATAGCTTCTCTGGTTAATCCTGATTTCTAATTTGAACAGCCTAATCTTGCCCTAGAGAACTCTGCATTCAAGATAAGACAGCAGGAATGCAATTCAGACAGCCACCATGAGCAGGGAGCCTCATTCAAGGTGGCCAGGCACAGCATAAGCTTGCAGATCCTTCTCTCTTCGGGAGATACCTTTTATATCCAGAAGTATGTAAACCCATGGGAATAACATGGAGTCCCATTCTAGGTTCAGAATGCCATCCTGAGCCAGTGAAGTTTATAGGGGTTCTCCCAAACTGGACTGGACATTGTTCAGCTATTCAAGAATTTTCTAGAAGCTTTCAATCTAGCCTGGATTATCTCTACATTTGGGCCCCAAAGTTCCATCCCCAAAGAACAAGGAAACCATAAACTAGATGGGAAAGAAAACCCAATTCTCTTTCCTGCTTATGGGCCCAGGATTTAGTTTTGTACTTTGAAGGGAAAATAGAAAAGATAATCTATCCTAACACTTTTGTCAGAAGAGGCTGAGCTTGATTTTTTTTTTTTCTGTGAAGTGTTAAAAAAAAAAAGTGGATTTTTGAAAGGCTAGGGAAGGACAGCTCTCATACCCTACCTCCCACATGTGACATACCACGAGTGATAGGGGGTGTGATTGTCACATCCAGGTCACATGATGAGTCAGAAGGAGAGAGAAGAGTGGCTCCCATACCACTGGGACAAATGTTCCATTGATTTCTCAAGCTGCAGTGGATTCTTCTGATGGGGAAGTGCAGTCACCTTATCTATTTAAAGAGGGTGCTGAAGTAGCCCCTTCATTTCTCCTTCAGGCGGGTTCTTAATTTTTTTGAAACTAGTTTTGACTTTGAAGTAGTACTGACCCTTATCCTTCCTGCTCCAAAAATACTCAACAAACAAGCAAAAAAAAAACAAAACTGAACCCTCTAAATAACTTTTTTTTTTTTTTGGTACCAGCAATTGAGCCCAGGGGCATTTAACCACTGAGCCATAGCTCTTTTTATTTTGTCATTATTTGTTTGAGACAGTGTCTTGCAAAGTTCCTGAGGGCCTCCCTAAATTACTGAGCCTGGCTTTGACCTCATGATCCTCCTGCTTCAGCCTCCCAAGCCACTGGGATTACAGGCATGCACCACCATGCCCAGCCTTCTAAATAATTTATAAGGCAAACATTTTCAATCCAAGGTTTTCCCTTGCTGGGAATTTATTATACATGTTGATTGATAACAATGGCTGCCATTTATTAAGCACCTGCAGTGTGTCTAGACCTAGGACCTGGGTACCACTTCCTGTTGAGCCCTTGCAGCTCTTTACACTTAATTCAATCTTAATTCTCCAAAGTAAGGAAAACTCAACACATCAGAAGTTTCCCTGGATCTGACACGCCGTGTGACAGAGTTTTCTGTATATAACTTTCTTTCATGTTTGTAATCCCAGGAGCAGAGGTTGGTGTTGGTGCTTCAAGAATATGTTGCTATTGTTGTTTGTTTCCTTTTTAAGTAGCCTGTGTGATCATTTTAGCAAAGTAATTATAAAGGTTATTTTCTGAGATAGAAACTTGATTTTGTAGTCCCACCAAACAACCCATTTCCTTTAAAAATCTTGAACCGAAAGCACTGGCTTGTATTCATGAATCAAATCTCTTCTGTGAATTTAGCCCTAACGGAGCTTCGGGTATTTTGTTGGGGACCTAAAAACAAAATTGCTTGTTATTACTACACTCTTATATTCACTCTTCAAATTGACAAGTGATTTTTTTCAAAAAAAATTTTAATTTGTTCTTTTTAGAGATACATGACAGTAGAATGTATTTTGACATATTATACATATATGGAGTATAACTTATTCTAACTAGGATCCCGTTCTTGGCTGGTACATGATGTGGAGTTTCCCTGGCCATGTATTCATATATAAACACAGTAAATTATGTCTGATTCATTCTACTGTCTTTCCTATTCCCATCTTGCTCCCTTCCTTTCATTCCCCTTTGATGGACAAGTGCTTTGTATTCAGCACCTCATTTACCTCCCGAGGAGAAGAAGGTGATTTCGATTAAAATCCCTCCAATGGCTTATGGCTTATCAAGTCACCGTAAGTGTGTCTTAGTGACCATGCTATGAATGACCGGTCTTGCTCTTTACACTCTAGTATTACAGCCCAAGTGTGGGGTAGGTTCTGAGTAGAGGCACAGAATTAGATCTTCTAAACATACTTAGAAAAATCTTGTCATTCCTGGTGAGCTTCTCATTCCATCAAGAGGGACCTTTATGTGGCAGGAAAATGGAGAAACATTCTTGAGTTGCTATGTAGCAGATACCGGCACCCTGGCTCTCAGTCCAGCCAGAAAGATGTTCCAGAACATATGTGAACAATTTAAGGGGAGCCCAGGAAGACAATCTATCTTCTCTGGCCACTGTGGCTCTGCAGGGCTCTGTAGAAACAGTGCAGCTTCCCAGCTGGGCCTTCTACCCCTGCAGGAAAGATCTGTTGTCACAGTTAGGCACAAAGAAAGTCTGTTGACTTGTCTTTTAAAGAGTTCATCTATGAGCCACCGAAAGCTATGGCTTTTTTTTTTCATGACCTAGAGCTTTTCCCATTCACATTCACTTGGCCACACCCAATGATGGAGAGGATTTTGCAGTCTCCAAATTGCCTGGAGTCTGAGTAGATTTTTTCCATATTTGATTCAGCTCCTCTCAGTTAGGTTACCAACCATGTTGACCTGCTTGTTTTCCTTTTCCTTCCAGATTTCAAATCCAATTTCAGAGCTGCTCCAATCAGATCCGTGGACGTCTACAACGTCATGTGCAGCATGGCTGGCATCACCCCACTGCCCAACAATGGGTCCTGGTCCAGGGTGGTATGCATGCTGAAGGACCTGGCCAGCTCAGCCTCCTCTGTCCAGCCAAACAGCTGTGCACTGGCCTTGATTCTCTTCTTCCTGTTTGCATATTGATCATATTGTCCGTCCCAAAAATGCTGTAAGCAAAGTGTGCCTCCAAAGTGGAATGTTTCTCAGTTTCTGTGTGAATAATAGCTTCATTAACACAATCAAGGCCATGCACACTGTAAATATATTGTTCTAGGATACTTCTACCCATAAATGTCCATACTTTTTTTTTAAAAAAAAGTTCTAAACTTTGTTTTTCCCAAAAGTAGACAAATCCTATATTTTCATTTGTCTAGATTTATACAGTTTTATCCTTTATTTTTGAATAATTCCTCAAGATGAGCTACTTGAGTAGCTCAGCACTGGTGTGTCCTGAAGCAACCAAACTTGGAATGGATAGTCTGTGGTCATCCTGGGTCCCTCTCTGTCCTGCCTTGTACAAAATTGCTTCTCAGACCAGGCCCTTATTTGTTCCCTGTGCACACTCAGGAGCCATCCTTTAGGTCTGTGACCACAATCCTGGACTGACCCTTCCACTCCAGAAAGGAGAAGTTCTACATGAAAGCAATGTCTGCTGTTTCTGACCCAGCTCATAGTTTTGCCATCTTATACAAAGTCCCAGGAAGGACATATCCTAGCAGGGATCATCCATGAACCAACAAAAAAAACCACTGAGGACTGGAGAACTCATAGAACAAGGTGAAAAGACCTGGGTCCCCTTCCAAAGTCTTAGTGTTCAATACCTTCTCCCTTCCCTTGAAGAGAAGAAAAGCTAGGAACAGACAAGCACTTCTGTGAGATTTATCACACAGAATATCATGGTATGAAGCCTTGGAAATAGCAGACCTTCGAGTTAAAGGAGTGTTAGATTGTCTGCCCACCCATCTGCCCATATGACAACTTCTTCAAACACCACCACTCTTTAGCTCCTGATTTGGGGCGTAGAACAGCAATATCTGGCATGCCAATTCAGAGCAGGCAAAGAGATGGGTGCCTTACTGATGAGAATATGAACATGCTAGCAGAAATCTTACTTCATTGCTTGGACTGGTGACACTTTAAACATAAGCTCCATGCACCAGTAGCCCTGAAGCAATACTTGCTTCACAGCTGCAAAAGGAAATCCTTGAATTACATAGAGTCCCAAAGGAAATGGTGGGGTTCAGGAATGGGGAGAGCCTGACGGAGCTGGATCCCAGTCCCTGACCAACTAGCCATTTGAGTAAGAAACAAACATCAAACTGAAGGTCAAAGTGAGTGGCAGCTCCAGGCAGCCATGAGGTCATGGGGTCAATAACTGATACCATGAGGTTCAGCAGGTTTGATGTATTAAATGCATTTTTTTAAAACTCACTGATGTTTTTAACTTATGATGGGTTTATCAGAGTGTGACCCATCTTAAGTAGAGGAGAATCTGTATATGAATCCCAGTATTGCTTTTAAAATGTTCCCTCTGAGATGAAACACATCTGCACATGAGACTGTCAGGAGGCCCACACCTCACGGCTCCTCAGGACAAGGAAGCCCTTATAAGGTGTTTATCTTGGGGAAGGAATATCAAGCCTCATCTGATTCAGGAAGATGGGGAGGCTTCTCCATGCCATGAATCATGAGAGCAATGGATCACTACTTTGAAATACTGAATTGTCCCTTACAAAAGATTTCTAAGGATTTATGAAAGGTGTTTTTAAAGCTCCAGCAAACATTGACTCAATCGGAAAGGAGGCAAATCAGCCTTTGTTGTGTGGCTGAAAGCAAATAGTACTCTCAGAACGTGGGGCTGGTGGTGGAGACAGACATCTATTGTTCAAAATTGGCTTCCTCTGTAAAGGAAGGTGGTCTGCTGAGTTCTATGGAGCCCACTTCCTGCCCTGGGAAGGAAGGATCTCTCAGAGGTATCCAAGCAATTAAATAAAAGTGCATCCTCAAAATCAAGAGGGGATAAACACGGACACAGTCTTGCCTTTCCTGTTCCGTTCTTCCCTTTCTTTCCTGTACTCACCCTTAACAACTTCAAGGCACATAACAAAATTTCAGCTATTTTTCTGAAAAAGTATAATTTCTCAATAAATAATGTTGCTCAAATTAAAGAAAATAAGATACCAAAGGAATCATGAATACTGGTAAATAATTTTAAAAATTCAGAATCTGAATTTTTTTAAAAAAAACTTTTTTGCCTAATAATGTGTACATTTGAATGGCTGAATTATCGGTTCAAATTTGTTTCCTTTATTTTTGTTTTAAGTTTGCATTATTTTTCCCTAGGAAAATTTCACCTTTCTAAATATGTTTTGTTCCATTGGCGTAAAATATCTGCTAGGAATAGGTAGGTATAGATGCTTCCCTCCCTGGATTATTTCCCAACTTTTCTGCTAATTCCAGAAGGAAGATAATTGAGTTAACTCACCAAGGATAAATGAGAGGAATTTTCCTTAAACTATAGATGCTATCAAGGGAAACTTTCTCCACCCATGTATCTGATCTCCAGAACTTGATTCCATAAGTTCTAAAGTTCCATAGATTCCAAGTTCTAAAGACCTATTCGTAAACCAGAAGAGCCCAGGGAATTCCTTCTAACATAGGAATCCGGAATTATAAAAACTGAGTTCTCTTCACTTTCAGAGGGACCTTAGAAATCCATATCAGATCTGAGATCAGTGACAGACAATACTTTGCAAACTTTCTTGCCTTTCAGGGCTCATCTGACCTACCATAACAGCTACAGGCTTGGAAGACCTGGAATAGGGCTCAGACAACACTTTTCAATCACATTGATCCAAGGTTGGGTTTTCTCTGAAGATAGATGAGTTCTGACTTGATCCTGACAAAGCTCTTTGATAATTCATGAGTTTCTCCAGGACCATTGGGGCTGACATTGGCCACTTACCTCAGTTGATCAGGTGTCCAGCCTCCCCTAAACCAAAGTAGATGTATGTGTCAGCCCCTGGGGTGGAGGGAAGAACCAAAAGACCAACGTGGCTTCTCCACACCCCACTCCTTGTGGCTCTAAGATTCCTGACGGTGCTATCAAACAAGTTTGGACATTGTTCAAGACACACAGGTATCTTACACGTTTTCCAACAAAGTGTGTTTCGCATTTATGTAAATATCAAGAGATCTCCAAATGCGATTGTGTGTTTTCTCTTTTTAAGCAATTTGTGAAAGACCAAAGTCAGCTTCTGTAAACGGCTTGCTAGAAAAAAGAAAGAGAGGTGATAGCCTTGACAGACTGGTTTTAAAACATTTGAAACTTTGTCTCAGGTATATGCTATTGGAAAATAAACTATGTTGCTTTGAAATCATGAAGCAGCACCTAGTATAGTGCCATAAATGTTTAACAAATGTCCCATAAATACGTGTTGAATGAAAAAAAGAATAAATGTCATTAGGGAGACCTGTTCCTCTCTCTTTTTCTGTAGCTCCTTTCATTAAATGAATTTTCCACCTTTAGCTTGCTTTCTTTTCTTATTACTCAACTGACATATAATCATACCTTAATTCATAGACCAAACATATTTTATCCCAGGATTATAAATTAGATGGAAGGAAGAAAAGGAGAGAGGGGATTTGATATCAAGTATCTCAACTTTACAAAAATGTAATAGCTTTGAGCCAGGCACGGTGGAGCAGGCCTCCCAGTGGCTTGGGAGGCAGAGACAGGAGAATCATGAGTTCAAAGCCAGCCTCAGCAATGATGAGGCGCTGAACAACTCAGTGAGATCATGTCTCTAAATAAATTACAAAATAGGGCTGGGGTTGTGACTCAGTGGTTGAGTGCCCCTGAGTTCAACCCCTAGTACCAAAAAAAAAGTGATGATTTTGAGACTAAAATCATATATCATACAATGCATCCATTTATATGAGCAATTCAATGAATTTTCACATATTTACTGTTGTGCAACTGTCAAATAAACACTTTTAGAAACTTTTTATCATCCCAACTCTAAAATCATTAATATGTTAGCAGCCACTCCCCACACCCTCTTAAGCAACCACTAAACTACTTTCTGTCTCAACAGATTTGCCTATTCTGGATATTTCATAAAAATGAAATAACATAATATATTGTCCTTTATGGAGGACTTCTTTCACTCAGCATAACCTTTTCAAGATTATAGCTTGAATCCATACTTCAGTTCTTCTACTTATAAATAATATTTATTATATAGATATGCTGCAATTTATTTAACTGTGCATCCATGGATGAACATTTTGTTTCTTCTCACTTTTTATATATTACAAATAACGCTTCTCTGAATACTCATGTGCATGTGTTTATGTCACATTTTCATTTCTCTTGGTAATGCACTTAGGTGTGGAATTTCTGAGTCATGACAACTTCACGTTCAACTTCTGAGGAACTACAATTTTCCAAATTGGCTTCCCCTTTATGCATTCCACCAATAATATATGAAGATTCCAATTTCTCTGCATTCTTGTCAATACTTTGGATTATCTTTTGTTCTTTTTTTAAATTTTAATTTGTTATATGTGACAGAATGCATTATAATTCATATTACACATATAGAGGATAATTTTTCATATCTCTATACACAAAGTATTTGTGTCTTTATACATGTACTTAGGATAATGATGTCCATCTCATTCCACCATCTTTCCTACTCCCATGTCCTCTCTCTCTCCTTCCTTCTCCTCTGCCCTATCTAGAGTCCATCTAATCCTCCCATGTCCCCCCCAATCCCATTATCAATTAGCATCCTTAAATCAGAGAAAACATTAGGCATCTGGTTTTTTGGGACTGGATAACTTCACTTAGCAATATATACTCCAACTCCATCCATTTACCTGCAAATGCCATGATTTTATTCTCTTTTAATGATGAATAATATTCCGTTGTGTATATATACCACATTTTCTTTATCCATTCATCACTGAAGGACGTCTGGGTTGGTTCCACAGTTTAGCTATTGTGAATTGTGCTGCTATAAACATTGATGTGGCTGTGTCCCTGTAATATGCTGTTTTTAAGTCCTTTGGGTATAGACCGAGGAGTGGGATAGCAGGGTCAAATGGTGTTTCCATTCCCATTTTTCCAAGGTTACTCCATACTGCTTTCCATCTTGGCTGCACCATTTTGCAGTCCTACCAGAAATGTTTGGGTGTGCCTTTTCCCCCCACATTCTTGCCAATATTTACTGTTGATTGTATTCTTAATAACTGCCAACCTGTCTGGAGTGAGATGAAATCTTAGAGTAGTTTTGATTTGCATTTCTCTAATTGCTAGAGATGTTAAACATTTTTTCATATATTTTTTGATTGACTGTATATCATCTAAGAAGTGTCTGTTTAGTTCCTTGGCCCACTTATTGATTGGGTTATTTGGGGGTTTTGGTGTTAATTTTTTAGTTCTTTATATATCCTAGAGATTAGTGCTCTATCTGATGTTCATGTAGTAAAAATTTTCTCCCCAAATGTAGGTTTTCTATTCACCATATTGATTGATTCTTTTGCTGAGAAGAAGCTTTTCAGTTTGAATCCATCCCATTTATTGATTCTTAATTTTAATTCTTGCACTATAGGAGCCTTATTAAGGAAGTAGGGGCCTAATCCTACATGATGGAAATTTGGGCCTACTTTTTCTTCTAGTAAGTGCAGTGTCTCTGTTTAATTCCTAGGTCCTTGATCCACTTTGAGTTGAGTTTTGTGCATGGTGAGAGATTGGGGTTTAATTTCATTTTGTTGCATATGGATTTCCAGTTTTCCCAGCACTATTTGTTGAAGAGGCTATCTTTTCTCCAATGTATGTTTTTGGTGCCTTTGTCTAATATAAGATAACTTGTTGTTATGTGGGCTTGTCTCTGTGTCCTCTATTCTGTATCATTGGTCTACAAGTCTATTTTGGTGCTAATTCAATGCTGTTCTTGTTACCATTGCTCTGTAGTATATTTTAAGTTCTTGAATAGTTATCCCACCTGATTCACTTGCTAAGGATTGCTTTAACTATTCTGGGTCTCTTATTTTTCCAGGTGAATTTCATGACTGCTTTTTCTATTTCTATGAGGAAAGTCATTGGGATTTTGATTGGAAATGCATTAAATATGTGTAGTGCTTTTAGTAGTATGGTCATTTAGACAATATTAATTCTGCCATGAACAAGATAGATCTTTTCATCTTCTAAGGTTGTCTTTCTTTCTTTAGCATTCTGTAGTTTTCATTGTGGAGGTCTTTCACCTCTTTCATTAAGTTGATCCCTAAGTTTTTTGTTGTTGTTGTTGTTTTGTTTTAGGGTATTGTAAATGGGGTAGCTTTCCTCATTTCCCTTTCAGAGGATTTGTCACTGATGTACAGAAATGCCTTTGATTTATGGGTGTTGACTTTATATCCTGCTTCTTTGCTGAATTCATTTACTTGTTCTAGAAATTTTCTGGTGGAATTTTTTGGGTCTTCTAGTAGTAGAATCATATCGTCAGCAGCTAATGCTATTTTTGAGTTCTTCTTTTCCTATCTGTATCCCTTTAATTTCTTTCATCTAATTGCTCTGGCCAGTGTTTCAAGAACTATGTTAAATAGAAATAGTGAAAGAGTGCATCCCTGTCTTGTTCCAGTTTTAGAGCGAATGTTTTCAATTTTTCTCCATTTAGAATGATGTTGGCCTGGGCCTTAGCATAGATAGCTTTTACAATGTTGATATATGTTCCTATTATGCCTAGTTTTTCTGAACATGAAGGGGTGCTGCATTTTGTCAAATGCTTTTTCTGCATCTATTTAGATGATCGTATGATTCTTTAAGTCTATTGATGTGATGAATTACATTAATTGATTTCCGTATGTTGAACCAAACTTGCATCCCTGGGATGAGCTCCACTTGGTTGGGGTGCATGATCTTTTTGATATATTTTTGTATTCAATTTGCCAGAATTTTATTGAGAATTTTTGCATCTATGATTATTAGAGATATTGGTCTGAAGTTTTCTTTCTTTGAGGTGTCTTTTTCTGGTTTTGGAATTAGGGTGATATTGGTCTCATAGAATGAGTTTGGAAGTGTCCCCTCTTTTTCTATTTCATGAAATAATGAGTATTGGTATTAGTTCTTTAAAGGTCTTGTAGAACTCAGCCGTGTATCCATCTGGTCCTGGGCTTTTCTTGGTTGGTAGGCTTCTGATGGCATCTTCTATTTCATCATTTGAAATCGATCTGTTTAAATTGTGTATATCAACCTGATTCAATTTGGGCAAATCATATGACTCTAGAAATTTGTCGATGCCTTCAATATTTTCTATTTTATTGAAGTACAAGTTTTCAAAATAATTTCTAATTATCCTATGTATTTCTGTAGTGTCTGTTGTGATATTTTCTTTTTTTAACCACATATGGTAGTAATTTGAGTTTTCTCTCTCCTCTTCATTAGCCTGGCTAAGTGTTTGTCAATTTTATTTCTTTTTTCAAAGAACCAACTTTTTGTTTTATCAATTTTTTCAATTCATTCTTTTACTTCAATTTCATTGATTTCAGCTCTGATTTTAATTATTTCCTGTCTCCTACTGCTTTTGGTGTTGATTTGGTCTTCTTTTTCTAGGGCTTTCTGATGTAATGTTAGGTCATTTATTTGTTGACTTTTTCTTCTTTTAAGGAATTAACTTCATGCAATGAACTTTCCTCTTAGTTACTGCCTTCATAGTATCCCAGTTGTATCAGTGTTGTATCAGTGCTCTCATTTACCTCTAAGAATTTTTTAGTCTCCTCCTTGAAGTTTTGCAATCCATTGTTCATTCAGTAGCATATTATTTAGTCTCCAGGTGTTTGAGTAGCTTTTATTTCTTATTTTACCATTGATTTCTAATTTCATTCCATTATGATCTGATAAAATGCAGAATAGTATCTCTACTTTTTTGTATTTGCTTAGAGTTGCTTTGTGGCATAATATATGGCCAATTTAGAGAAGGATCTGTGTGCTGATGAGAAGAAAGTATATTTGCTTGTTGAAAGATGAAATATTCTATGTCAGTTAAGTCTAAGTTATTGATTGTATTATTGATTTCTATAGTTTTTTTGTTCAGCTTTTGTTTGGATGAACTATCCAGTGGTGAAAGAGGTGTGTTAAAGTCACCCAGAATTATCGTGTTGTGGTCTGTTTGACTCTTGAACTTGAGAAGAGTTTGTTTGATGAATGTAGATGCTCCATAGTTTGGGGCATATATATTTATAATTGTTATGTCTTTTTGGTGTATGGTTCCCTTTAGCAGTATGAAGTGTCCTTCTTTATCCCTTTTGATTAACTTTAACTTGAAGCCTACTTTATTTGATATGAGGATGGAAACCCCTGCTTGCTTCTACAGTCCATGTGAGTGGTATGATTTTTTTTCCAACCTTTCACCTCCAGCCTGTGGATGTCTTTTCCTATGAGATGAGTCTCCTAGAGGCAGCATATTGTTGGGTCTTTTTTTTTTTAATTCCAATATGGCAGCCTATGTCTTTTGATAGGTGAGTTT